AAGAGTGCAGATTCTCTAGGGGTAGCAGGAACAGACAGGGCATACTCTGGAGGCCAACAAGCCATACAGTTTGGTTACTGCCCTTACACTGGCGGGACATAAAGCTGGAAAGGAAAAGTGGGAGCAAAATCGTAAAGAGCTTGAATGCGAAATTCAGAAACTTGTACTTTAGACTACGTGTGACAGGAAGCCCCACAGCTTCCCTTGCCTCATTCCTCTTCCCCAAGCAAAGCACTGTTAAGTTTCTTCCTTCGAGGAAAAAATGAAAAAGTATATACTAGTGTGTGTGTTTCTCTCTCTCTTTAAAATTATACAACAACATGCAAATCAAGTGTACTTCAACAGAAAATTTTTTGATTAAAAAACATTTAAAAATTATACAGTGATAATACATACATACATATATACACTATTCTGCACTTTCTTTGTTTAAAATGTGTCTTTCCTTATCATCTTGTACAGACCTACCATATTACTTTTAATAGCTATCTGGCATTCCATATGATTGTAGCATAATTTATATAAACAGTCCCTAATTATTAGATACTTAGCTTCTAGTTTTTTTTTTTTTTTTTTAAATCAGCAATGCTTTTTGAATGCTGTTGGACCTAGTAAATGTGGCTCGATTGGTGTGCTTTATTTTCACCAATCAGGTTAGCAATTTCTTTTCGTTAGGGGATAAGTAAAAATAGTGGGCAGGGAGGTAAACCTGACATGGAGAAAAAAGTACAGCAGAAAATTCCCTTCCCTGAGCATTCGATATTTCAAAGTTGCTTCTAGAGAAATTTGATCCATTGATGCTTTTACCAGCGGGTTTGGGAACCCCAGTTTCAGTTTCTTCACAGTAAGCTTTGCTGATTGGAGAGTAAAATAATTAAATTTTTATCATTTCAATTTATGGGAAACTTTTTAAGTGTATATATTTTTTAAAGTGTGTACTGACTCCTTTAGATGTAAACTGAAAGTTGAACAGGCTTAAACACACTGGTAAAACTACTCCTTGTTTTTGACTTAGATATGCCTTCATGCCCTTAATAGATGATTCTGACGACGAAATTGAAGAATTCATGGTAACATCTGAAAATTTAAGTGAGTGGCATATTTTCTTATTAAATGACCATTGTATATATTGTAACGAAGAAATATTGTACCTCTACCTGTGATGCAAGGTCAGATACACTTTTTTTCCTGTAAAATATTTTTAAAACTATATCTGCAGAAACCTCTATTACGGTAGACAGTCACAGCAGAGAAGTCAGTAATGAAATTTTCAAGATTGCTAACGTAGTTTGAGCTTTTGTTACGTGTTTGCTCTTAAAGTCTAAGTATTGAATTAGCTGCACTGTTTTCCACAAGAGAGGTTTGGTTTCTATTGTGCTCAGCTCCTAAACAACATTCGTCTTCTTAATGATGATTTGCTAAATTTCTTTGTATCACCTCTTTTTGCTCTTGAAAGTTGTGCACATCTGTAATTTCCCGGTCATGCCCAAAGCATTTCTAATTATGGTCTTCGTGCTTTAGTTTTCATCTTTCTATTGATTTATACGTAAGTGTCTTATCATTTTCTTAATTTTACCAAAACACTGTAATTAAAGCATTTGTTACGGCAACATAAGTGTGTAACTCAGATGTAAAGAGCAATTTTATCTTTATTCCATTCTTCCTTCCTCTTACTTTGGTTTCTCTTATTAGTAACATTCTTTTCACAATTTTTTTTTGTTTCTCTACTGTGAAAATTTTATAATCTACCCAGTTAGCAAAATTTGCAACGTAATCAGTGTGTCTTCAGTGTCCACACTTCCTTTTACCTCCTCTCATCAGATTTTCACCTACAACTAATTCTTTCATGTTTTTCTGACTTTTCTATTAAGAAAAGAAATCTGCAAAACTTATTCACAGCAGAGATATTAAAATTCAGTGTGTTAGTTCTGGCTCCAATAATGATGGAATGAATTGTTTGGGGCTAATCTTCCTGCTTCACTTTGCAATGGGCCCCCAAATTATATAGCCACCTTGCACTTAACTCATTGTACCTGGAACCAGAGTTCCATGATAGCTTTTTTTTTTTTTTTTTTTAAATTAACTATTGGAGGCACTGGAGAGCAAAGAAAAGCAGGCAGAAACTGGAGGAGATTTCACTGTTGAAAGAAGAGAACCATGAAAGAAGAGTTCATGCCCAGTCAGTGAGACTGTACAGTGGCGAGAGCACAAGCAGATAGTATTATCTTACTGACGCAAGGAATTGGAGAGTGAAATTTGGGGCTGTAAGAATGTCTGGGGATGGATGGAAGAAACCAGAAAAGAGAGAGCCACAAAGGGGGAAATTCGAAAGTCTGTAACGTCTCTCTAGTCTTATCTGATACCTGAACTGGGTATGTGCAAAGTGAGACTCCAAGAAGCCAGGGGGAAAACAATAGCTATTAGGCTAAGAAGCGGAACAGAAATCTCAGCAGCTGCCACAGCAGAGTTTGAAATTCAAATCTCAACAAGTTAAAAGTGCTTGGGTAAACCTCTTGGGCTTTCCATTAAAACCCCAGAAGGGCCACTCCTTAGAAGTAAAGACCACAGTGTAGGACCACTGAAATTTACCCTAGGACTAAAGCTAAACTGAAATAAACCCTAATCAAATCTAAAAGCATATCCCCAAAAGATCAGAGTGATCTAGCAATAATTTGAATTGCCTGCTAGAACAAAACACAACACTTCCCAGAGGAAGATAAGAGAATCCAATCTATAAGATACCATTCTCAATGTCCAGTATACAATGATAAATTTCTAGACATAGGATGAAACTGGAAGCTGTGATCCATAGTTGAGGGAAAAATCAGTAAGATCAATCTAGAGGTGGCCCAGATGTCACAGTTAGAGTTGAATAAAACCATCGACCTAATTGACTTGATTGATATTTATAGAACATTGCATTTAGCAACCCAAGAATAAAGGTTCAAGTCTACGTTGAATAAGATAGATCATATGGGGCTTCCCTGGGGGTGCAGTGGTCGGGAGTCCGCCTGCCAATGCAGGGGACACGGGTTCGTGCCCCGGTCTGGGAGGATCCCACATGCCGCGGAGCAGCTGGGCCCGTGAGCCATGGCCACTGAGCCTGCGCGTCCGGAGCCTGCGCTCCGCGGCGGGAGAGGCCACAACACTGAGAGGCCCGCGTACCGCAAAAAAAAAAAAAAAAAAAAAAAAAAACAAAATTGTAAAAAATCAAAAAGATAGACCATATGTGTGGCCATTAAAAATGCCTCCATAAATTTCAATGGATTGTAATCATGTAGAGTATGTTTCTGATCACAATGGTTAAATTAGATGCACAGCAGTAAGATATCTACAAAATAATTAAATGTTTAGAAATTAAGCAATAATTTCTAAGTAACTCGTGGATTGAAGGAATATTAGAAAATATTTCATGCTAATGATAATAAAAGCATAACATGCCACATTTTACAGGATGCAGCTAAACCAATTCTTAGAGGAAAATTAATAGCTTTAAATGCCTATATTACCAAGAAAACATTGATAATATGTTTCCATCTTGAGAAGCTAGAAAAAGAATGGCAAATTAAACCTGGGGTAATTAGAAGGAAGGATATAATAAAGTTGTGTCTACACCAATGAAATAGAAAACGGGGGGAAATAGAGAAAATCAGCAAAGCCAAAAGTAGTTTCTTTGAAAAGATTAATAAAAATTGATTAACCTCTAGGTAATCTAAACCAGAAATAAAATATAGCAAGGCAAATTTCCAACATTGGAAAGATAGGGAGGACATTACTACAGCAAGAAAGGGTAAGTAAGGGGTTATTATGAACATATTGGGCATTTGGATAAAATGAACAAATTCCTTGAAAAATACACTTAAGAAACTACCCTAATCTTAATTCTAACCCTATGCCACTAATTGGAATAGCCATATATTTATTAAAGAAATTGGGCTTGAAATTTAAAATCTTCCCATAAAGTGCCAGACCCAAATGGCTGGCTTCACTAGTGAATGCTTTCAAATACTTAAGGAAGAAATATTCTAATCTTACGCAACTCTTTAGAATATAGAGGAGGTGACAGAATGGGAGAAAATATTTACAAATGAAGCAACTGACAAAGGATTAATCTCCAAAATTTACAAGCAGCTCATGCAGCTCAATATCAAAACAACAAACAACCCAATCCAAAAATGGGCAGAATACCTAAATAGACATTTCTTCAAAGAAGATATACAGACTGCCAACGAACACATGAAAGAATGCTCAACATCATTAATCATTAGAGAAATGCAAATCAAAAATACAATGATATATCATCTCACACCAGTTAGAATGGCCATGATCAAAAAATCTACAAACAATAAATGCTGGAGAGGGTGTGGAGAAAAGCGAACCCTCTTGCACTGTTGGTGGCAATGTAAATTGATACAGCCACCATGGAGAACAGTATGGAGGTTCCTTACAAAACTAAAAATAGAACTACCATACGACCCAGCAATCCCACTACTGGGCATATACCCTGAGAAAACCATAATTCAAAAAGAGTCATGTACCAAAATGTTCATTGCAGCTCTATTTACAATAGCCAGGACATGGAACCAGCCTAAGTGTCCATCAACAGATGAATGGATAAAGAAGATGTGGCACATATATACAATGGAATATTACTCAGCCATAAAAAGAAACGAAATTGAGTTATTTGTAGTGAGGTGGATGGACCTAGAGTCTCGTACAGAGTGAAGTAAGTCAGAAAGAGAAAAACAAGTACCGTATGCTAACACATATATATGGAATCTAAAAAAAAAAATGTCATGAAGAACCTAGGGGCAAGACGGGAATAAGGCACAGACCTACTGGAGAATGGACTTGAGGATATGGGGAGGGGGAAGGGTAAGCTGGGACAAAATGAGAGAGTGGCATGGACATGTATACACTACCAAACGTAGAATAGATAGCTAGTGGGAAGCAGCCGCACAGCACAGGGAGATCAGCTCGGTGCTTTGTGACCACCTAGAGGGGTGGGATAGGGAGGGTGGGAGGGAGGGTGACGCAAGAGGGAAGAGATATGGGGACATATGTATATGTATAACTGATTCACTTTGTCATAAAGCAGAAACTAACACACCATTGTAAAGCAATTATACTCGAAGTATCCAAGTTGGGATACCTCCCAACTTCTTTTATAAGGCCAGCACAGCTCAGATACCAAAATCTGACAAAGACAAAAAAAGGAAAGTGACAGACCACTGTCAGTCATGAGTAGAGACATAAAATTCATTTAAACGGACTTCCCTGGCAGTCCAGTGGTTAAGACTCCATGCTTCCACTGCAGGGGGCACAGGTTCGATCCCTGGTCAGGGAACTAAGGTCCCACATACCACTCTTTTTTTATTTTATTTTCAGTAAATAAAATCTAGAAGAATAATGAAAGACCATCATTGTCAAGTGGACATTATCCTAGGGTTGCAAGCCTGTTTCAACATTTGAAAATCAATCAGTGTAATTCATCTAAAGAGTAAGGAAGAAAAATGACATAATTATCTCAGTAGGTGCAGAAAGACATATCACAGAATTCACCTATTCATGATTTTTTTAAAAAAGAAACCCACTTAGCAAACAAATTACAGAATAGTATGAAAAAACTCTACAGCTAAAATCATACTTAATGGTGAAATAGTGAATACTTTCCTCCCAAGATTGGGAACAAAGTACATGGATATCTGCTCACCACTTTGACTCAGTATCAGACAGCAGTTCCTAGCCGGTGCAGAAAGGCAAAACACAAACCAACCCAAAGAATACAAAAGGCATAAAATGTGGAAAGCAAGAAGTAAACCTGTTTTTATTCACAAACAGCAAGGTTTTGTTTTTTGTTTTGTTTTGTTTCGGCTGTGCCGCGCGGCTTGGGTTAGTTCCCAGACCAGGGATTGAACCCACGCCCTCTGCAGTGAAAGCACGGAGTCCTAACCACTGGAGTGCCAGGGAATTCCTCAGCAACGTTAAGTGTGTAGAAAATCCTAAGGAGTCTACAGAAAAGAAAAAATACAGTAGAACTAATAAGTGAATAATATAACAGAATCATAGGATATATGTCCAAATACAGAAATTAGATTTTTTAATATAACTGGAAATAATTGAAAAATGAAATTTAAAATATTGTTTACAGGAGCTTCAAAAAATAAAATATTTAGGAGTAAATTTAATGGAAAAAATGTGGAACACTGCACTGAAGAATACAAAACAATGCCAAGAGAAATTATAGAATAAGGAAATGTTTATGAATTGTAACTCTCAATATTATTAAGCCATCACTTCCTCAATTGATATGTAGATCCAGTAGAGTCCCAGTTGTAATTCTGGCTGATTTTTTAAAAAGTGGTTAAGCTGATTTTAAAATAGGTATGGAAATACAAAAGATTTGGAAGAACCTAAACATTCTTGTAGTTACAACACAGATCTTGAAAACACTATACTAAGTGAAAGAAGCCAATTACAATAGATCGTATGTTATAAGATTCCATTTATATGAAAAGTCCAGAAAATGTAAATGCATGGAGATAGAAAATAGATTAGTGGCTCCCAGGGGCTGGTGGAAGGAGTGAGGTGGGAGTAACTGCTAATACATATGAGTTTTTGGTGGGGGGGGAGCGCGGGGGGTGATGAAAAGCTTCTGAAGTGAACAGTGATGATGATTGCACAATTCTGTGACTGTTCTAAAATCCACTGAATTGTACACTTCAAAATGGTGCATTTTATGGTGTGGAAGTTATATCTAAATAAAATTAAATTAATGGACTTAATACTGATTTCAAGACGAAAATTTCAAGCTATACTAATCAATAGTGTGGTATCGGCATAAGGATACATACATCAGTGTATCAAAATAGAGTCCCAAACATAAATAAAATTAAATTAAATTAAATTTCAGACAACTTAAAAAAAATAGTCCAAAAATAAATCTGCACATATTGTTCAGTGGATTTTGTTGTTGTTGCTTCAGATTATTTTATCAATTCAGTAACACTTTAAAGAAGGTACTCTCACTAGCACCAAATTGATTCCAATATAATAGGAGGTCTCTAAAGCTTTTGTTTTTAAAAGAGATATAATATTTAAATTAGCTCCAAATTGGAAACCTCATTTGTCAATTGATTTTTGACAAAGGCAGCAAGGCTTTATATGAGGAAAAGATAGTATTTTCAACAGTGTGTGGAACAACTAGATAAACACATGGGGGGAAAATCACCTAGTCTCCTGCCGTGTGTATCACCTATAATTAATTCAAGAGAGATCACAGACCTAGATGTAAAAGATTAAACTATAACTCTTCTAGCAGAAAACAGGACGATATCTTCATGACCTTGGGTTAGGCAGTTTCTTAGGACACAAAAAGCAGTTACCGTAAAATAAAAAGGTTGGTAAATTAGCCATCACCAAAGTTAAAAACTTATGTTCATCAAGAGAAACAAGAAAGTGAAAAGGCCAGCCCTAGACTGGGCTGAAACCTTCTCAATACATATATCTGACAAAGGACTTGTATCCAGAATATAAGAATTCCTACAAATCAATAAAAGATAACTCAATTTGTAAAAGAAAAAATGGAATACTTAAATAGACGCTTCACCAAAGAAGACAAAGGAAAGGCCAGTACGCACATGAAAAGGTGCTCAATAATACTGGTCGTCAGGGAAACGCAAATTAAAACCAGAGTGAAATGCTACCATGTATCCACTAGCGTGGTTAAAATTTAAAAGACTGGCGGCGTGAAACGCTGAAGGGGATGTAGAACAGCTGGATCGCTCATACGTTACGGAAGAAGTCTTAAGTTTTAAGAAAGCAGTTTGACAGTATCTTAAAAAGTTAAACATACACCTACCATATAGCCCAGCCATTCCACTCCAAAGTATTTATCCAAAAATGAAAATGAAAGCAGATGTCCACAGAAAGACACTGTGTGCACTTTTATAGCAGCTTGATCCTTAATGGTCCAAAACTGAAATAGCCCAAATGTCTGTCAGCAGATGAATGGATAAAATAATAGTGGTATACTTACGCAATGGAATACTGTTTGGGAAGCAAAAGTAATCAACACAATACAACCTTTATGTTGAGTGAAAGTAGTCAAATCCGAAAGAATATTGAGTCCTTATGGTTTTATATAAGTTCTAGAGCAGGCAGGAGTAAACTGTGGTGATTATGTAAATCAAAGCAATAGTTGCTTCTGGTGGGGTTGGGAGTGACCAGAAAGGAATTTAAAGAGCCCTCTGTGGGGACTTCCCTGGTGGCACAGTGGTTAAGACTCTGCACTCCCAATGCAGGGGGCCTGGGTTCCATCCCTGGTCAGGGAACGAGATCCCACATGCCTGCTGCAACTAAGAGATTGTATACCACAACTAAGACCCAAAGAAAGAAAGAAAATATTATATGAAAAAAAAGAATCCTCTCTGATGATAAAAATGTTAAATGTCTTGACTGTGATGGTAGTTACGCAAGAGTTGATAAAAATCTCTTCAGACTGTACACTTAAGAGTTTGTATTTTATTTTGTATATTATACTTTAGTTTTAAAAAATCAGTGTATTACGCCTTTAAGAGAAGGGTCTCAAATGTTGAGATTTCAGATGCCCCGTGGAAACATTTTCAGATTGAGCAACCTCATTTTCACTCATTATATCCACTTATGCACTTGATCTCATCATGTTGTACCAACTATCCTAGTTTATGGAGGAGCACTTTTTGCAAATTATTGTAGTAACAAAAGTGAATACTTATTGGACATAGACATTATGTTTCAGGTGCCTTATATATGCTAATTTGTTTAATGCTCATCAGAATTCTCTGAGGTAGACATTATTATTATTCCATTTTATAGGCAGGGACATTGAGTCACAGAAAGTTGATTGCTTAGCCTGAGGTTACATAGATAGAGCCAGAATTCCAAGTGAAGCCATCTAGTTTCAGGACTCATGCTCTTAACCTCTCCTCTGCTAAACCTGCTGGCATAAAGAAGAGCCTTGGTCAAATACAAAGAAAATCTTTTTCTTCCCTATTTTATTTATACCATAAACACATTCTATAAATTTATACATTAGAGAAGTGAAAGCATGGCCAAAGGTGTGTTTTATTCTTAAATATATCGTAAATCCTGTAGATTTTTAAATCCATGAACTTTAAAATGTACTGAAACTACCTAATGTGTGCATGTATGTATGTTTGCTTGTTTATTTAAACTCCTCTAAAACTGGAATTCAGACTAGCAACTTGAGAACCTGGTTGTTTGTGTAAACAGTTATGACGTTTTTAACTTTTTCTGTCCCTCCTACATTCCCAAATGGTATATTAAAGCCAGCACCCAGCCCAAAGCTTCCACTGTTAACTCTTTATAGGGTTATTAAATGAGAGGCTACAAAGGAAAATATTATTATTTTATAATTTTATGAATTTCTATAATGTTTCTCATTACAGCTGAAGGAATAAAATTAAGAGTCTCAAAAACGGTTTCCAATGGAACAGCTAAACCTGCTACTTCTGATAATTTTGTGAGTATAGTATATATTTAATAGCGTCTCAGTCTTTAATACTTTAGAAATCTATACGAGTGTCACATTCATTGACCTTCAGGAGAACACTTTTTACTAGTTTTTTTGTATGAAAATAAATGTTACTAAGTAGTGATACTAGTTAAGTCTGACAACTGTACTGCTGTAAACCCTCACTTTCCATGTGCTGTCATTGGACCAGCGGCACAAACCTCACCTGGGAACTTGTTAGAAACACAGAATTTCAGGCCTACACCAGATGTACCGAATCTAAATCTGCTTTTTAACAGAATTCCATAGATGATTCACATGCACATTAAAGATTGAGAAGCTTTGTTATAGTGAAAGTTAGTGTTAATTTTTCAGCACTTTTATGTGATTTTTGAAACTATTTCAGATAACATTTGTTGTCTGTTGGAAACGGACTTTTAAACCATGTAAACTTGAATAAAACGTTAAAGTATTGGGTAGAGATGAGTTTTTAAATATTTTATGCATATTATTTATGCATAAAAGTGGTAATTATGAGAGTAATTAAACAAAATGGAAATGCCTATCATACAGTTTTATATTTGGCTTTCTTACAGTTACATATGTTGTGGTTAATAAGGTGTAAAAATTTATGTATGCACCTAAGTTCTGACAGGATGGATGGTGTATGAAACAGTTTCATTTGTTGGATTTGGTAAATTCTCTAATCCTTATTTTTGGTAATTAATAATTCTTTAAAATGTGTTCTTTGAGTAGTTTTATGGTAATTTAACTAAACTTTAAAAAGCTCCACAGTTTTAATTATCTGGTGTTAGAACTATTAAACTTTCAGCTTGCTAAGAGATTTTCCTCTTATTTTAGGGATATGTTTCAGTTTATTTTAAAGCTCAGTATTTGCACATATAGCAAGGGAAAATGTTTTCATTTCTCTAAACTGTGTAGTCAGCTCTTTTCTTTTTTTTTTTTTTGCGGTACGCGGGCCTCTCACTGTTGTGGCCTCTCCCGTTGCGGAGCACAGGCTCCGGATGCGCAGGCCCAGCAGCCATGGCTCACGGGCCCAGCCGCTCCGTGGCATGTGGGATCTTCCCGGACCGGGGCACGAACCCGTGTCCTCTGCATCAGCAAGCGGACTCTCAAACAATGCGCCACCAGGGAAGCCCAACTCTTTGTATTTTTACTGTGGGTTTTCAAGACAAAAAAATAACACCTGTGCATCCAACCAAAACCAAAGAAGTACAAAAATCCAAAATCCAAGTGTTCGTTTGACTGTTTAAGAAAATACTGGCATAATTTTCATGTGGCATAAGTGTCAAATTCTTAGGCTATGTAGAAATTAAAAGAATGTCATGCATTTGAATTTAAATGCTTAAATTATATATACATTCTATTTAAAAATTCTGCTTTCAGGCATTATTAAGCAAAAGCTAATATGTAAATATTTATTTCTACAGGATGAAGATTTGAAGTGGGTGGAAGAAAACATTCCCTCTTCATTCACAGATGTGTAAATATCCTCTGCTAAAGTTTGAATCTAAAATTTAGGCTGTAGTATAAAGGGATAATTTTCATGCTTTGTTATGTGCTTTTCAAAACTCTCACCTCTGTATGTTTTTATAGGCCCCCATCACTAGTGTATGACTGATTAACTTCATATCGAAATGTGAAGAAAACCCAGCCCTGCCTTGGTCTGTCTTTCTCCTTTCTTTTTCACTGTACAACAACTCTATTAATACTCCTGCCCTATAACCAACTCCAGCATTTTCTTATGTAAGTTTATCAGGATCAGAATCATTTTGTTTTAACTTTATAATACGGAAGAATTCAAACTTTTTTTTTTTAAAACACGTGTAACCACGAAACCATGTACGGTGGGGAAGCTTTTGGAGGAAAAACGTGAGGATAGGAAAACTAGAGTGCATAGGAAGCCCCTCTGGGAACTTGGATCTATTCAAGTTCTTTATCAGTGTCCTATATGACACACAAATTCCAGATAGCTGTTTCCACAGTAGACAACAGGATAGCCAAATATGATGTTCTCACATGTTGTTTGTTCCTTTCCTGCTCCCATTTACTTCCTTTTTAGATAGTTTCTGTCTAGTGTGATGTTACATTTGCCTGAGGAATTGCATTTATGTTTCTGGTCTTGCAAGTATGTTGGTCATAAGTCTGTCAGGTTTTATTTGTCTGAAAGAGTCTTTGTTTTGGCTGTTTGGGAAGCTGTTTTTGCGGGGTATAGAATTCCTAGTTGACTGTTTTTTCCTTCAGCACTTCAAAGATTGTCACTTGAATGTTTTCCAGCTTTCATAGTTTTAGAAAGAAGTCTGCTGTACTCCTCTGTTCCTTCATATGTTACCTGGGTTTTGTTTTTTTTGTTTTTGGCTGCCTTCAGGACTGTCTCCTTCTCTTGGGTTTTTCTTTTCTCTTGGGTATATACCTAGAAGTGGAATTGCTAGATCATATGGTAACTGTATGTTGAACGTCTTGAGGAAGTGCCAAGCAGTTTTCCTAGAGCCGAACCATTTTATAATCCTATCAATAATGTATGAGGTTTCCGATTTCTCCACATCCTTGTCAGCACTTGTAATTGTTCACCTTTTTGATTTTAGATCTCTTAGTGGCTGTGAAGTGGTATCTCATTGTGCTTTTGAGTAACTGAAATTTGAACTATCTTGTTGAGGGACTGGTGTTGTTTAATGAAACTGTGGTAACTGAAATTCACACATAACAGATTCATATGAGGTAAGAACTGCCTTTACATTATGAAACTAATAGTACACTATTATACTTTTTTCTTTTAATAGTCATAAAAGGAAAATAGGTGTATAAATATCCTTTACATGGCTTTATGATTTCTTTTTTCCTTCCTGTATATCTGAGTTATCACCTTCTCCTGTAGGTCTTTCTTTAGTGTTTCTTACAGTATAGGTCTGCTAGAAACTAATTCTTTCAATTTTATTTATGTGAAGTGTATTTGTTTGCCCTCCTGTTCAAAGGATGGTTTTGCTGGATATAAAAATCTTGATTGACTTTTGTTTGAACTCTTCCAACACATCCCTCCAATATCTTCTGGTTTCTATTGTTTCGAAGAGAAGTCAGATTTTAGTTGTATTGTCCTCATGTGTGTACTGTGTCATTTATTTTTTGCCGCTTTTCAGATTTTTTTCTTTACATTTGGCTTTCCACAGTGTGTGTATGATGTGCCTAGGTGTGGTTTCCTTTTTGAGTATTCTTGGAATTTGTTGAGCTACTTGGATTCATATCCCCACTCCCTTTGGTCATTTTCCAGTGCCTTTAACTACCTATTTTTAATATTTTTGTCCAGGTTTTATAAATGTTTCTGTGGGAGGAATCATCTGATTTCTTTCTACCTTTACCTGCTATCTTCCTTTTTTTTTTTTTACTAGTTTCTCTGTAATCCTTTTTACTTCTTTCTTTATATCATTTTCATTTTCTTAGTAGTTTTCTTGCCACATATTAAATTTTTATATAAATTTGTTCTGCCTTGTGTGCCTTGTAATTTTTTTCTTCATTGCTGGGATGATTTTGTCTTTTTTTTTTCCAGAGTTTAATGGACTCTGTGAATTTCTTCCTCTTTTGCTTTTATCCATTTTTGCTCTTGGTTTTAAAATTTCTTATTGTAGTTTTTAATATCACCAAATATTCTTTTTAACTTATTTCATCTAATTTGGAGTGTTGTCTTACAGCTGTAGCTTTCTTCTACCATAAAACACTTTGATTTTCATTGTCCTTCTTTTTTTCTTCCTGCACCATTATATGGAATTGGTTTTGTTTGTTTTTCCTATTCCTAGGCATTTGGTAGTGAGAGTTCCTAGTTTGAGTGCTTTCTTCCATCAGTTGCATAAATTATAGTTTTATTTATGGAAGATGTTGATGGGATGGAGGTATGGAGAGAGGGAGGTTGGTGGTGTCTTATTTTTCTTTTATTTCTACAAGATCTTTAGTTTTCCCCTTTTACTTCCTTCTTTTTATTCATGGTACTGCCATAGCTCTGAGGGTACCACTCCTCCATGTATCTGATTCTCCCCTGAAAACCATGATTGTTCAAGACTGCTACTTTTGGTTCCACTCAATTTAAGCCCCTTCCCTGTAGCAGATACTGTGAACTACCAAGTCACTGGCCTTTAGTCAGTATTTTGGAACTTAGTGTTGATTTTTCTTGAAGAGGTTTGTCTATACCTTGTTGAAATTCTCCTTCCCCTCTACTCTTGCACAGAGTCTCTCAAACCTCTCTTTCCCCACTCTCAGTACTCATGAGCTTGCAGTGACAGCAGGGAATTTGTTGGTACTGGCATTTATTTCTCTGTTTACGTATAATTTCAGGTTTGCTGTGTTCTCCTGGTTATGCTGAAGGCTGTGAGTTGTGTGTGGTTTTGTTTGCAATCCTTAGGGACTTCATGGAATTTTGAGCAAGGGTGTATGGAGAGATTCAGAATAGGTGGCAACCGTTATCTTCCAGATTTGGAAATTCACTACTGAGTACTTTAGAAGGAAATCTCCTAAGTAGACTAACCCCATACTATGCCACTGCTTCTTGGTGGAAAGCAATAAGGCTCCTGGGCAGTTCTCCTTATGTCTTAGAGAGTCATTACTCTCTACAGTTTCTTTCTGTAAGTAAAATGTCTGCCCGATTACAAAAATTCCTCTGGAATATAAAAGAGCAAAATGTCTTCTTTTATGTTCTCATGAACCATTTATGTGAAATGAGTAGAATTGTATAATCCAAGATAGCTTCCAGCATTTTAGGTTCTTAGGAACCTGTGTGTCCATTCTGAAAACTTTAACACAAGAAGTTTAGCACAATGCTACCCAAAATTCATGTGCAATTTACGTGGCAAGTTTAGAAACTGGACTTCATGTACAGGTAAACACTTTTTTATACATCAATAGAAATGGACCAAAAATTTTGCAAGTCATAGGACAATTTAAACAGATCATGAATAACCATATGATCTAGTGTGTTGTGTGATATTCATATGGTATTCATTATGGCTTTTCTGTTTCTCTGATAAACCAAAAAGACCAGCTTAGCATAGTTCTCCTTCCTCTTCAATGCACTGAGTCCATCTTAATAAGTTTTAAATAGTCACTTACTTCACAAAAGGAACCATTTTGGAGATTGCAGTGTTTATCTCTAAACGAGGTGCTAAGCACTCAATGGGCTGTCTTCTGGGCTCCCAAGGTTCTGGATCATCTTCCCCTAAAGCAGTCCGGATTTCCCTTAATATTATTCCAAGCCATATAAGTTGGCTCCTTCCTCACATCTAGCAAGGCCCCGACTTCTCTTTCTTCTGTCTCCACCGTGGGCTGCACTCTTAGTAGCATCCTCTGGATTGTGTGTTGATGTGACTTTCATGTTGCGACCTTGGCATGCAGACCCTTTGGGCTCTCCCTCTCGGTGCTCCATTGCACATCGAAGCTCTACATTTGTCTTTTTATCCATGTAATCTTTCCCGAGCAAAGGTTCTGTTGCATAACTTTTTCTCTCCTCAGTATCCTTCACTGGTTTATGTCCAGTCAATGGTAACAATGACATAGGATTAAACAAATACCTGATACCATAAATACCACCTTTCATAATATGTTTACTCATCCATCTTTTTAAAAATAGGTATATCTTTTAATTAAATTTGTGTTTATTTAAGATGTGCAACATGATAATTTGATATATATGTACGTAGTGGAATGATGACTACAGTCAAGCCTATTCATCCCTCTTAAGTTCTCACAAAAGTACATGACATGTGGGTTTTCAAATTAGATAGCACATCACTAGTCAAGATATTTGTCCAACTATTCAAAGTAAAAAATAACCAGGGGCTTAAAAAACAAAGATATAATTGGATGCCCACTGTGTTTGGAATTATTCATTCATCATGGTTTAGTCCTTGATGTTCTCCCAACATATTAGCCTCTAGAGTTGCTGATTTTTGTTGTTGTTTCCATTTTGAAGTTATAATTATTTTCATATATCAGCTAATTTTTTAACTGAAATTTTTGAAGTACAGCACCCATTCTGGAAAGTGCACAAATTCTAAATAAGTATATAGCTCAGTAAATTTTTAATATAAGCACACTCATATAACCTGCACCCAGATACCCAGATCAAAAACTGGAACATGGGCTTCCCTGGTGGCGCAGTGGTTGAGAGTCCGCCTGCCGATGCAGGGGATACGGGTTCGTGCCCCGGTCCGGGAGGATCCCACATGCCGCGGAGCAGCCGGGCCCGTGAGCCGTGGCCGCTGAGCCTGCGCATCCGGAGCCTGTGCTCCACAACGGGAGAGGCCACAACAGTGAGAGGCCCGCGTACCACAAAAAAAAAAAACTAGAACATCACTAATACCCTAAAAACCGTCTTCTTGTTTTCCTCCCAAATCATGACCCCACTCTCCTAAAGCTACTGCTGTACTGATGTCTATAACTGTAGATTACTTGTGTCACTTTTTAAAATTTGATCCCTCAATAGTTCATACCTCTTTTGGGGGCTGTATAGTATTCCAGTTTACCTATTTGGGGCCTGTTAAGAACAACACTGCTATGAATATTCTTCTCTGTGTCTGTTGGCAACACTAGGTATTCTCTTCTGTTGACTTTGTCTTCCAGGAGTGAGACTTGGTGGATCACAGGATATGCTTATATTCAGCTTTGTAGATACACTGGCCTTTTAATAACATTGTCAACTTTTTTTTTCTCTTATTTCAGAGCTCTTCCAGTATTAGTGGATTCAGATGAGGTAAAATATATTTTTGCTTATGTCTTGGAGCTATTATTTTCACAAAGTAGAAATGTATTTCAAAAGAAGCTCTGAAAGTTACTTTTTAAAATGATTACAAATTGAGCAGATTGAAAGACTGCGTTGAGCTGTGGGTAAAGTTTTAAGGAACTGGATCCTCATTTAAAACAGGAGCAAGATAAATGCTTATTGGTGTAAAAGGAGGGAAGAATTCTTTTATGAGGTTTTGAGTCTATGATTTTCTAACATCTTAAGATGTAAGAGTTTAGAAGACTTCAAGGTGGCAGTTTGTCTAAATCAATCTCTTATATTTGTAGATATTTTCCTGGGGTATTAAATAAAGTTTCTAACTGAGTTACATTTACTAAGTAGGAAATTTGAATAGATGATGTGGATTTAGGAAGGTTTTTGGGGGGAAAAAATTAGTTATAGATCATCTGGACACTGCAGGGTGACCCAGGACAGGAAGAAGTCTGAAGTGTAAGGATTAAAGGATGGACGTGGGGACCACCAGTTTATCCAGAGGAAGAGTAGCGGGAAATGAGTGGCAGCTAAGGAGTAATTTACGTGGTGGCTGTAGAATATGAGAGAAGCTACAGCTCTGTTCATTGAAAGGTCAGGGAGAAGACTGGTATCAGCGCGGGGATTTGGCCACAGTGGGATGCGAAGTTTTGAGGAGGCTGCCGTATATACACACCTTGCTACAAAACCATTGAACTCCAGGAGTTATAACTCTACGGAAAGATATACCATGGAATTACTTTTAAAAGGGCATTTGTAGTATTCATTTGATAAATAATTGATTTGTAATTTCAAAAATACCTAAAGTGGTAGAGTCAGGCAAATCCCTAGATGAGCTCTATGCCTAAGAAATCCATTTTATCTCTGTCCCTGCCTCACACTGGCGATTCTGAATTAGAAATGTTAAAGTTTTATGAACTTAACAGATAATTGATTATACTCCATTACTAGAAGTCTGGATTATATGGTTTTTATTTTCCGTATCTAATATTTCTGTGTATATCGTGGCGTGTACCCCACGTCGTAGAGACGCTGTAGAGAATTCTGTTAGGACCTGGAAGGAGCATCAACATTTTGATGAATATCTTCCCTTTTTTTTTTTTAAGGAAATTATGACCAGATCTGAAATGGCAGAAAAAATGTTCTCTTCAGAAAAAATAATGTGATTGGAACCCACATAAATGAAGCTTACGTCACAGTGAAGGACTTCCTCAAGACTAAAAGAGAACTCTGTTTTGATATAGTACAATAAGTTTTCATTGCATGATCTTGGAAATCTATGTACTAAAAATAAGAATTCAGATGGTGGGAGGGTTCTGCAGCCCTTATTAAGCTGACTCTTGAATGCCAGTTTAATGTCCATTAAATTGCCTAGACTTGGCAATGACCTGAGAGAAGTATTATAATAAAGACAGGTGCCCAAATGCCCTTAGCTGATGGGTGGCAGGCGTGTGGGTTTGGGTTCTCTTTTTTTTTTCCTGGGAAATATGACAATTTAAAACACTTTTTTTTTTTTTTTTTTTTTTTTTTTTGGCGGTCCGCGAGCCTCTCACCGTTGTGGCCTCTCCCGTTGCGGAGCACAGGCTCCGGACGCACAGGCTCAGCGGCCATGGCTCACGGGCCCAGCCGCTCCGTGGCATGTGGGATCTTCCCGGACCCGGGCACGAACCCGTGTCCCCTGCATCGGCAGGCAGACTCTCAACCACTGCGCCACCAGGGAAGCCTGAAGACAACTTTTTCACATCAACACTCCTACTGTTCTTCGCTGACCTTTGATTCAGGTGATGTGATTCTTCTGAGGTGTGGTAAAGCAGTGTCTCCATCTCTTGGGTTTATAGTTACTAGATGCAGTAATAATTCTCTTTGATTTTCATGCTGAAGCAATTTGATAAGAAGTAAAACTTGGTTAACGTTGGTACATAAGGATGTTTATATGGTTAGGTTTGCTGTGTGTGTGTGTGTGTGTGTGTGTGTGTGTGTGTATGCACATCTGCACAAAGCCCTTGTGTGTAATTATCACCACACACATCAAATCATAGCATTGGTCTTCTCTGTCTGAGCTCAGGGGAGCACAGTACATGGAGAGAAGTTACTTCCAAAGATCTGCTCTGCCACTGTCCCCTCCCTCAGGCCAGATATCTGTGTGCTGCTGCTGAATGCCTGGGGCAGGTGGGCTCCCCTGGCCACATGGCTCCACCAGAGCACTTCCTCCCTGGCGAGCTGGGAGGCTCATACCAGTGAACCTTGAGGAAACTAGAACCTTCTATGTAATCCTACCATATTTGGTTTCATAAAAAAATATATATGTAACTGCATAGTACATCACTATTAATCTTGTAACTAATTTTTTAAACTTAAATCATGTTTTATACATTATTTTGTTACATTATATATGTAATGTGTAATTTGAAATTTAAAAAAAATTTTTTTTTAATGCAGAACGTCCTAAACTTGAAAAGCAGTTGAATATAGTGTGATGGAAGTGGTGAATGTTTTGCTGCTCTCCTGACCAGAGATACAGCCTAGTGAACATTTAGAATAGGAATTAAAGTTAGAATCCTATATGTCTTTCTTTGAAGGAGTTCTAACCTTGTGAGTTGAGGATGACTTCAGAGGGTTTTTTTGCGGTACACGGCCCCTCCCACCGCGGAGCACAGGCTCCGGACGCGCAGGCCCAGTGGCCGTGGCTCGCGGCCCAGCCGCTCCGCGGCATGTGGGATCCTCCCGGACCGGGGCGGAACCCGCGTCCCCTGCATCGGCAGGCGGACTGCCAACCACTGCGCCACCAGGGAAGCCACCAGAGTTTTTGATTAAGCATTAAATTCTTAACCAGTACAAGCACTTAAATCATAACCTTTCATTGATTTTTTTCATTGCGAAGCCACAAAACAAAATGATTTCTTTGAAAAGCCTGCGTTATGAATTGGCTTCTCATTTTCTCATTTCATAGGAGTTAGTAAAAAAGCTTTCTAGGGCTTCCCTGGTGACGCAGTGGTTGAGAGTCTGCCTGCTAATGCAGGGGACACGGGTTCGAGCCCTGGTCCAGGAGGATCCCACATGCCGCGGAGCAACTAGGCCCGTGAGCCACAACTACTGAGCCTGCGCGTCTGGAACCTGTGCTCCGCAACAAGAGAGGCCGCGATAGTGAGAGGCCCGCGCACCGCGATGAAGAGTGGCCCCCGCTCGCCACAACTAGAGAAGGCCCTCGCACAGAAACGAAGACCCAACACAGCAAAAATAAATTAATTAATTAATAAACTCCTACCCGCAACATCTTCTTTAAAACAAAAAACAAAAAACTCTAGTAGTAATACCTCTTGAGAGGTACTTTCAAATTTATTTGCAGTAGTGAATATTGACCGTGTTGTACTGAGAAAGGTTTGGGACATCCTTCCCAAGAAAAGAACATCTAACAGTGTGGGTTCACTTCCTTATTTCCATTTCTGCCACAATAATGGGCTCCCACCTACCATCTTTCCCAGAATTTATGTCCATTCTGGTTTTGGTGTATTTTACCCTCAGCCCAGTTGTTTCAGAGCTGACCAGTGCCTTCTTGTTCCTAACATTTGTATCTAATACCAGTCCCCAGATTTTGAAGCAGATTGATCCCCAACTCATAGGGCTCTAGTTGAATTTTGAAATGTAGAATCCTGGGTTTCCAGCTGCAGATGTTGTGGAGTGCGAGTGGGGAGTTGATGGTAACTGTGTAGTAATAAGGGGAAATGCTTCTCACATAACCTTGATAGTGTTTATAAAAACACTTCTGTCTGCAGCTGGCAAGAAAAATGATGCTGCCGGTATGGCTCAGGTGCACACTGAAATGCAGACTTTACTCCAAATCACAGAAAGCAGTATTTTCTCCTGATAACCTCATCAGAAATGTTTTTCAAGGGGCGTATACTGTGTCTGTATACTGTGTCCAGTTTCCAGAAACTGGGCATCAGGGTCTTTGAGGCTATCACATCATTTTATTCTTAGGATGCCATCAGGATGGGTTTCCCTGTTAATGCAGGAATCTGAGAATAAGAGTCCAGTTTTATGTGTTCCTAGGCAAAATGCTTAAGTGTTTTTATTATGCAATTCATGTTAGGTTTATGTGAAGTATGAAATCTGCTTAAAAGGGAATTTTCATGATTTGAGTTAGATTAGTATTAGTATCTGCTTTAGTGGAGCTTTAAGTTCGTTTATTTCAAAAAAAAAATAAGGAAAAATAGATGAATATGTGAATTTTTTAAGCCCAAGAGATAAGATGCTCCCATACTTTTTACTTTTCCTGTAAAGAAACTAATATTTAAAATCTTTCACATATCCTGTAGAGAGTACTGACTTTCCCTCTCTATGGCAGTATGTTATATTTGCACTACTGTAATGTGAAGACTGAAAGTATAAAAGATGTACATGAAAGTATAAAACGTTGATTTTTATATCCTTTTTTCAAAAGGAATTTGAGTCTATTGCACTAGGCCATAGAGGACTGGTTTATGAGACGTATTATGCTAGATTTATAAGTCCCTAGTTTTGGTACTTGTGTCTTTCTGTGATCAACAGCATGTGATAAGCAATACAAAACACCATGCCTTATAAGAAAGAAGTTTAACATGTTGGTTAAAGTACTAAATTACATAGCGGAATGTATATAAGTGACAAAACTAGATTTAAGGAAATGTACATTATAACACAGGAGCTCAATAAGAAACTTCCTTAGAACTAGGAAAACATGTATTTGGGAAGAAAGGGGCTTAAGAAGTTATATATTTTTATTTAAAAGGTTAAATTATTGTATTATTTGGAAGAAGCTGCTCTGAATGTAGGACAAAACTATTTCAAAGATTTTTGTTTGAAAAAAACTGATGTATTTTTGTGCCTTAATATTTGTTCTGACAATAAAATGCTTTCTGAAATTTTGCACGATCCATTTTTCTTTATTTTTTTAATTTATTTTTGGCTGTGTTGGGTCTTCGTTGCTGCGCGCAGGCTTTCTCTAGTTGCGGCGAGCGGGGGCTACTCTTTGTTGCGATGCACAGGCTTCTCATTGCGGTGGCTTCTCTCGTTGCGGAGCACGGGCTCTAGGTGCGCGGGCTTCAGTAGTTGTAGCGCATGGGCTCAGTAGTTGTGGCTTGCGGGCTCTAGAGCGTAGGCTCAGTAGTTGTGTTGCACGGGGCTCAGTTGCTCCGCGGCATGTGGGATCTTCCCGGACCAGGGCTCGAACCCATGTCCCCTGCATTGGTAGGCGGATGCTTAACCACTGCGCCACCAGGGAAGTATCATCCATTCTTGATAGGATTTATGAGTGCTAAGATTACTTAAACCTACAGGAAATGTAGACTCCAGTAGATGGCAGGACATAAACAAAATTCTCAAAAGACGAGGTACAACTAATTAACAAACATGAAGGAAGTGTTCAATCTCAGTAGTGATCAAAGAAATGCAAAATAAAAGGGGAAATTTTTAAAAATCAAGTTGATATATTTATGCTCTTAAGTATTTGTAAAAATCCTTTTGCTTTTAATGTCTGATGGAATGAGCACATCATTAGTGATGGTAACGTAACTGATTCAGTCTTTGTGAAAAGAAGTTCAACCTTTTCATAACCTCTGAATAATACCAGTTCATAACCTTTGAATAATACCAGTTCTGGTGACGTTTTTTAAAAATGATTCAAAATATAGAATCAGGCTTCTGCACAAAAATGCTTATTATAGCATTATTTAAAGTAGAGAAAAAACAAGAAGCAAACTAAATATCAACAGTAGAATGGTTAAGTGAATTATGGTTTACCAGCTACTTTATGGAATAGTCTACAACCATTAAATTATGAAGAATATACGATAACGTAGAAACGTACTTGTAAATAGAATACAAAGTCACATATGTGAACTCATCTATGTAAACACAAAGTAGGGAAAGGACTGAGTGAAAACACATCACAGTGGCACTCAGGATGAATGTTCAGGTTCAGCTAGGCTGTAATTAATAATAAAAAATAATTCAATCATATTTCAGTAGGTTAAGACAAAGAAGTTTATTTCTTGACCTTGTAACTGTGCTAGGATAGGTGTAGAGGTGAGCAGGGCACCCCTCCTCACACAGTCCCTCAGGGGCCCAAGGTTTATTTTCATCTTTTGGGCCCACCGTCTCCTGGGGCCCGTCATCTGCATCCAGCCAGCAGAAGGGGAGAGTTGCTCCAGCCTGGGGATTTTGCGGGGCTAGACCTGGAAGTGGTGCCCATCACTTCTTAGCCTATTCCATTAGCAAAACTCAGACACGTGGCCACACCAAACTGCCAGCTGGACTCTGGGAAATGGCGCGAGCCGTACCCCTGCCTGCTGTTCTAACTGTGAAAGGAGAGGATGGATTTTGGTGGACAACCAAGGCTTCTGCCACAGGTTATTTGGGGTCGCTGGCCTAGGGGAGACTTCCAAGCCTATGTTCGTCCAATTTTCTAAGGTCGACATACTGAGAAATAAATATGTTAAAAGGGCCATAACTAGGCTGTATGATATCAGAAACTT